TTCAGGGGCTACGGAGTCGCCAGCTGCAGCCAGCTACCGTCTTCCCCCGTCGCGCCCCACAGTCTGCAATGCTAACAAGTAAGAAAATGGACAACAAACTTTTATAGCTGTCGTTTTTTTTTTGTTTTTTTTTGGTATTCTTTATAAAAGCTATGTTCTTCTGTCAATTTCACCTCACACTACCTCCCACTACCTACCTCCCACTGCTGTCGTTTTGTCTTTTAGCGAAGAATATAATTTTTAGAAACCGCTGTGCTTTTTTTTTTTTTTTTTTTAAACAAAAAAAAACACACTGGCCCTAGTACCGTCGTCCCCCAAAGACGACAACGCACGCTCATTTTGGCTGCACCTGACCGGAAAGATAGCTTGTAAACATTCGTTTTCAGGGTGCGTTGTGCTCGGGGGAAGACGAGTACTACGACCTCTGATTAGGATCGTGAAGACGCAAATGGTCCACGTGTTCGAACATTGGGCATCCCCCTTTTTTTTTTTCTTTTTTTTTTTTTAATCTGCTGGCGGCGCGACCATTGGCCATGTCATCACTGTTTGATACGGAATTGTGATCGGAGGGGGCACCCGTCTATTTTTTTTCGCTTCTTTTTTTGCTTTTTTTTAAAAGCACCCACCCAATGGAAGCATACAACTTAGTGGAGGAAGAAAACCTGATGAGGGTATCTCTCTGGGTAGATGTTTAATTGCCTGCCATGGTATGGACCGGGCCGGAGTGCCAGGGCCATGCCAAACGGCCGCATTTAAAAAAAATAAAATAAAAATGTAATTGCCTGGGGGGAGACAGTTATTGGGAGGTAATTGTTGGAAAAAATCAATAAATTGTTTTGTTGTTGGAAATCAATTGTTGGAAGATGATTAGTAAATCAAAGATAGCGAATCGTTGGAAGGTAATTAAATTATTGGAAGATGAATATCAAATTATTGGAAGATGATTACTTCTTATTGGATGATAATAATCAATTGTTGGAAACTAATTAATTATTGGAGGACGTATTGGAAGATAATTAATTAACAGCGGGAAGATAATTAATTATTGGATGGTAGTGAGTTATTGAAAAGATGATGACTTATTGGAAGATGACCAACCAATTGTTGGAAGATAAAAAAAATAATTATTGGAAATTATTTGAAGATAATTAGTGAAAGAAATCGTGGTGTGTTTGTGGTACGTTGAATTTTGAACCGGGAGATCGGTCGACCAAATTTTTATTTTCGGACTCTGATTTAAAATTAATATGAATTGTTACTGTATTCTTATGATCTTATCTTATGAGCAGAGATGGCCGGGCGGTGAAATTTTCGTTATTAAAAAAATATAAAAACGACTGTTGATATTTTGGCAACTTGTTGTCAGAATCAATAAATGATTTTTTTTATTTGTTTTTTTCGCTTTGAAATGGAGTCATGATGTCTAATATATACTTTGTTTTGCCGTCGGATGTTGCGTTTTGTTTGTTTTTTTCCCTCCTTTTTTTTGGTGCTTTTTTTTGTGGGGGGGGAGGGTTATTGTTGATGCATACAGGAATTTAAACAGCCTAGTAATAAAAAAGTGGAAACGGTGGATCCGGTCTCTTGTCCGTCGACAAGAAGCAAGAGACGGCTGTCGAGCTCTTCTGCGGTACGTGCTCTCTTTTCTTTTCTATGTTGTCTTTTCTTTTTTAGGTTTTATTTGCTTTTTTATGTTTTCTTTTCTTTTTTAGGTTTTCTTCGTGAGTGGACGAGAGGAAGAGGAAAATCGTCGGAGAAAAAGGAAAAAAAAGATAAATTTGGTGAAAAAAAAAGGGAAGTGGAAAAAGGAATTGGGATAAGAAAAGTAATTGAATCGATGTCATCGTCGTAATCTGTAAGAAGAGGTGATCTCTAGAATTTAACATGACTCAAAAACGGGGATTGTACACTTTCGACCGTTGATATATAGATTGACAGTTGGATTCCTGCATCCATTGGTCGGATGATGTAAGGGTGATAATTGTTGAGAAAAAAAGGAAAAAAATGGAAAGAAAGGGAAAAAAAGAAAATAAAAGAAAAGCATTAATCGGATGATGTAAGGGTGATAATTGTTGAGAAAAAAAGGAAAAAAATGGAAAGAAAGGGAAAAAAATAAAATAAAATAAAAAGAAAAGCATTGGTCGGATGATGTCAAAGGGTGATTATTGTTGAGAAAAAAATGAAAAAAATGGAAAGGAAGGGAAAGAAAGAAAATAAAAGAAAAGAAAAGAAAAGAAAAGAAGACTTGAAGGCAGACTTGAGTGGTTATTTTTTGCAGTTGTAATCTGATTGTTGGTCTGAAGGGGGTTATATTTTTGGAGAGGGGAGCTTTTTTTTGTTTAATTTTTCCCTTCGCTCGTTTTGATTAGTGGGAATAAGCGAATTGGAATATGGGAGGAAGTCTTGTGTGTGTGTGTGTGTGTGTGTGTTTTGTTTTTCCGTTTTGTCGTTGAAAGTATAATGGGAGAGGTTTTTTCTTGTTTTTTTACTGGTCTGCGATTTCAAAAGATAACAGTTTTCATGTAAAAGAGCCCATCTAAAGAGCCGAAACGTTTTTTATAGTCAATTGAGAATAGTAGCAAAGTTTGAAAAGAGAAAAAAAAGAATAGTAGCAAAGTAGCAAATTAGCATCTAAGTAAGTATTTTGCATCGAAGTATGTAATAATTAAGAATAGTAGCAAAGTTTGGGGGGAAAAAAAAAGAAAAAAAGATCAGTAGCAAAGTAGCAAATTGGCATCTAAGTCAGTATTTTGCATCTAATCTAAGTATGTATGTAATAATTCTTAAAGTCGTGCCCGTTAAGGAGCCATGAGTTTAGGACACGTATGGGCCATACAGGGACGGGGTTGGGGGGGAGGTTGTGGTCGAAATTCATCCGATTATGTAGAAACGTTTCTACACTATTTTTGTCTGCGGGCAATAGCTGGGCCCAATTGCTGATGGTTTAGGGGTCCAAGGTTTGCCAAGAAAACGAGGCCGGACCTTGGTGAAGGTCTCTGGCCTAGACCCTTGAAAACGCCAGATCACTCGAAGCAGAGAACTGCTCTTGCGGGCTTATTACCGGTAAGAACATGTGGATTCGATCCTGGGCCAATAGCAGCGAAAGCGGCAAGCGGCAGGCTACTTGGAGAAGGCGCAGTTGCAGGATCGCAAGATTTGGAAGCTGGCTTCGTCTTTTTTTCTTTTTTCTTTTTTTTTTTCTTTTTTTCTTTTTTCTTTTTTTTAACAACGGGCCCGGTGCCCAAGGCGAAGAGGTTCGTCAACTTAGGCTCGTGCTAACTGCTGGTGTACGGTCAGTCAGAAGCTTATTAGCCCTCTCGTCTCTGAGCTAAACTTTAGTATCATAACTGGAGGGTAATCCGCTTGGTTGGTTAATGACTGTGCTGCTGGGACAGCCTTCATCCTGCATTGGACCAGTACAAAAGAGAGAGAGAGAGAGAGAGAGAGAGAGAGAGAGAGAGAGAGAGAGGAGATGTGCATTGGTAGGTTTTTTTTGGGGTTGCTATAATAATTTTCTTGAAGTTGTATCCTTGTTTTTTTCTTTGAAAGAAAAGACCGGCATTCAGAGTGAAAATGCAGCATGGAATCATTTCTCGTGAAGAGCTAGGGCCTCGCTAAGCTATATACATGCACAAAAGACAAAACAAATAGCGATGAATCTTTCCATGTTCTAGAGGGAAGATTCATTCTCATTTTGTACATTTGGTGAGTGGTGGAGCGAGGGCACATCACTAATCTGAAAACCCTACCTGCTAGAGTCTGGGGAACAAACCAGTTTCCAAACCCTAAACCTATAAGAGCAGGCATTACCACAAAGAGTAGGATAAGATAAGACTGAAAGATAAGATGAGAAGTACGCTAGAGCTTTGCTCCACTTCCTTCTTTCCCCAAGCCCTAATCCTTTCTTCATTCGGATCCTCCCGGTCCTCCCGTTTGGCTCTTCTATGCCTATGCTCATATTTTTTTTTATTATGGCGGTGCATCTTCCCATGTTCTAGAGTAAAATTCACCCATGTTCTAGAGTAAAATTCACCCATGTTCTAGAGTAAAATTAACCCATGTTCTAGCGTAAAGTTCACCCATGTCCTAGCGTAAAGTTCACCCATGTTCTAGCGTAAAATTCACCCATGTTCTAGCGTAAAATTAACCCATGTTCTAGCGTAAAGTTCACCCATGTTCTAGCGTAAAGTTCACCCATGTTCTAGCGTAAAAGTCACCCATGTTCTAGGGTAAAATTCACCCATGTTCTAGGGTAAAATTCACCCATGTTCTAGCGTAAAAGTCACCCATGTTCTAGTGTAAGAAAAAATCTCCGTTCCGAACCTAACGGTCCTCCCATTTGGCGCTTCTCTACGCTCTCATGTCTTCTCTCAAATTCTCAGCAGTCAGGCGATGGCGAACTCCATGTCTCCTTCTTCCATGTGAGTACATTTGCATTTCGTTATCTTCAGGACACATTTTACAATTTTGGGTGGTTTCGAAAAAGGAAAAAGAAAAGGAAAAAAAGTTAAAAAAAACAATTTTGAGTGGTCTGGGGAAAAAAACAACGATGACAATTTGGAGCGGTTTTGAAACTCGCGGTTTTTTTTTCCCGTCAAGTTTGCTACTATTATTATTATTATGTCATAAACTTGGCGTAAAGCGCAATCAAAGAAGTAATAAATAAACGATTGGGAAAAAACAAAAAGAGATGTACGAAATGATTTCAAAAAGTCGAACGGTGTCACCAAGTTTGACTTCTGACTTAGGCCCGTTGACCCAATGCTAATTACACGCCCCCCCCTCCCCCTCCACATAAAAAAAAAAAAAAAAAAAAACACTTGAGAAAGTAAACTATAAAAATGTCCAACTAAAAAAAAGAAAAAAGAAAAAAAAGAGAGAATGTCCAACAACTGGGGTTCTTTTGAAGTGTAGTATCTGTTCTGATCAGTTTAATATCTGATCCGTGATCCACCAATTCAATACCTTTCTCACTGACAGGCCTAGCTTAACAGGCCTAGCTCAGTTGGTACACCGATGTACTAGTGAAATACAGACCCACGTTCATCTGATCGGTTGGTCCGATCAGATGAACAAAATTTTACAGGTCGTATATGGTCTATGAGGGACGCAGGGTTTTTCAAAAAAAAAAAAAAAAAAAAAAAATTACAGTTCGGAAGTACTTGGGGCCGGTCAGCTCAATGATGATATGTGGAGGTCGTCGCCTTTTTCCAAAAAAAAAAAAAAAAAAAGTTTACTATCTTTCGGAAACAAAAAAGCGTTCAATACCTTTCTCGGCTAGGCTACCAGCCGGGCCGCCTGGGTTACGCTATTTTCCCTGCCGACCCGGCCGTGCAAGGACTAGGGAAGGTCCTACGAAATAATAATGATAAAGAAACAAAATCAAAACAATCTGGGGGAAACCTAGGCAGCAAATCCGGATATCCGGCAGACCAAATTTATTCGGACTTTTCGATCCGGACGAATTTCCGGATTAATTCCGGGTATTGAAAATCCGGTTACCGAAAAAAAAAATCAAAAAAATCTGGAAAAAAAGTATGTTGTTCATATGAATGATACGAACAACGTTTGGCTTGAGGGCATCTTTGATATCTCAACAGATATGAAGATAAAAAATAAAACAGAAGAACAAAATAATATTTAAATAAAAAAATATGGAATGAATTAAGCATCCCCCCTCTAAACCCCCTTATTCCCTATCTTACCCCCTTTGAACCCTTCAATGCCCTATAGAGCTTTTCATGAAATAGGAACGTAGTCCTTTCGAAGAAGATTATTCTTTTCCCATCTACAAGTAGAAAGTCAAGCCATGTTGAAAAATAGAAAGTCAAACCATGTATATACACGGCCGAATGCCCAAACCTGAACGCCCGAACGTACGGGACCTCTTGGGGATGTGTTTGGCCGTTCGGGCCGAAGGCAGACCAAAAAAAAATCAAATCAAAAAAATCTGAGAAAAACCTACAAAGGCTACCAGAGTGGGCCGGGGTCACTTGCCCGGCCAGGCAAAAAAAATATTTTTTAATGCTGTTTTGTATTCTAAATTTGGTGAAGAATTTCGATGTGACCCTGAGGCAAAAGTTGTTCAATTTATTTTTCTGCATAACATTGTTTTTTTTTTCGGAATTTTCGGAATTGTTTTTTTTTGCTGGGACCTTCCCTGGTCCTTGCATTGGCTGGCCACCCGGGACTTGGGCGGCCCGGCTGGTAGCCTAGGGAAAAAAAGTATATGAAGAAAAGTAAAATAAACAAAATTTGCCTGAGCATTACATCCAAATTCCTTACCAAATTTGAAATAAAAATAAAATACGGAAAATAAAACTAATAATAAAAATAAGAAAAAATGAAAAGAGAATTAAAATTATCATACGACATTGGCTGCCCTTTCAAAAAAAAAAAAAAAAAAAAGAGAATTAAAATTAGTGAGTGAGCGAGCACGTTTTAGACCACTGCCATCTTTGGTGATTTTTCTTTTTTTTTTTGGCATAGCCAAATGCCCTGAAAATTTACAGATATGTACTTCACATAATACAAAACTCATTAAAAAAAGTTTCAAAAAATAATAAAATTGTTTAGGCCTCGCAATAAAGTGGGGGGCGAACGCCTTTGGGTTCGGACCCCGAAAGGGACCCCGAACACCCATACGTACGGAGGTCGGCCAGGTGACCTTCGTACGTACGGGCTGGTGACCCTGTATGTGTGTATATATATATGAGTCGGTGAAACTCCGACGAAACAGTTTGTCACAGCCCCTCGTTTGTTGTCCTCTTCTCCCTCTCTGCCTACGGTTTACCGGGCAGTTCTATTTGACGATATATATATACTTAAAAAAGGGTGACGGCCTCGAGATATCATCATCGAACTGACCCGCCCGAGCTAATTCAGAGTAATTGTAATATTTTACTCTTCATCTGCTTCCAGTGGAGTTCGAACTCCGCACCTTGGTCTGTATTCCAAAAGTTCCCTGGTTTACGGGCTGAGCCAGTAGGCCAGTTGGTGCCATGCTTTTTTTTTGTTTTTTGGAATCCATGTTTTTGCTCTCGTGATCTGCTAGTTTTCTGAAGTCGTATATTTTAAACTAGCACTCCAGCTGCCCCTGCACTGGTCATTTTTCTCATCTGCAAGAAGGGACCGGGCCTTTTTCTTTTTTAGGCTTGTTGGGCTGTCTTCAAATACCGTGGCTCGGGCTTTGCTTGGCTGGAGAGCCTTGCGCAGCTCGATTTTTTTTTGTTTTTTGAAAGGCTATGGCCTTGGGATAGCATCATGCAACCGACCGGCCCTAGGTGTTCAGAATTGTTTTATTTTACTCATTTATTTCAGGCTGGAGTTCGAACTCGGGTCTATATTTCAACACTTACGGGGGGGTGTACCAACTGAGCTAGGCCACTTGGTACCCCAACTATTTTTCCTAACGGCGGCACTGTGGATTTTAGGCTCGGGGAAATGTGTGTTCATTACTATTACATAGCAGATGGATAAGTGACACGGCACTCAAGATGACAAATAATACGCAGATGCGAAGTTTCTTTAAACGACCAGTACTTGGCCCAGCTATCGGCCGCGGAAAAAAATAGAGTAGAAACGTTTCTAGTTGGATGAATTTGGGCGCTCCTGTAGCGGCCCGTACGTTTCCTAGGAGGACTTGAGAGCATATACTCAACGTGGTTGGTGGATGGCGGGTTTGCGTTGAAGATAGGGGGATGAGACTTGAGAGCATATACTCACACTAGGAGGACTTTGACTTTTTCCACAAAGCTCTGGACGTGATTGCAGTCAGATTCGTTCACATCCGGCCGTAATTCCAGCCATATGAGGGAACCTATTGCGTGGTTGGTGGATGGGGGGTTTGCGTTGAAGATAGGGGGATGAGACTTGAGAGCATATACTCACACTAGGAGGACTTTGACTTTTTCCACAAAGCTCTGGACGTGATTGCAGTCAGATTCGTTCACATCCGGCCGTAATTCCAGCCATATGCATTCTGGAAAGAACTAGTGTGAGTGTGCCCTTGTATAGAGGGAAAACAAAAAGGCAACAAAAAAACGGAAAAAAAAAAACCATGAACCCCCCCCCCGCCCCCCCCCACAAGGAAAAGTGAAAAGGTGATTAAAAAGGCGACAAAAAAGGACAAGCCTGGCCACAGAAAAAGGAAAAGCCCACAAAACCAAAACGAAAAGGCAACCAAAGGAAAACGGCTCAATGAGTAAAAAACATAGACCCTCTATACAAGCCCCTACTAGCTCAGAGGGGGCACCCATGAACTAGGCTCCATGAAATATAGACCCGTGTTCAAATCGAGATGCTGGAACTCGATGTGTAATGCAATTCTGAAAAACCAAATATTTCTGAATTGCCTGGAGCCGGTCAGCTTGATGATGATATCTGAAGGCCGTCGCCCCCCTGCTGGTCTTATGTCTTGTCACTTTGTGGGTTTGTTTTTTTTTTTTTGGGTTTTTTGGAAAAGCCTCGGGACATGTTCATGAATCTGCTGACCAGGTTACTTCTGGTTTAAACCACCAGTAGGCGCGGGGGGCTGGAGGCGCTGCAATGCACTCCAAGCGTTGCTTTTCCTAACCATCAACGGTGGACGCTTTGTCTTTTTTGTTTTTTGGCTGGCCGAAGGCCCCGAGGCGCGAAATCTGGGGAAAAGGTGTCGAAGATTTGTCTGTAAGGCTGTGGCCGTGTACTGGCGGTTTAAACCACTGCAGTACTTCATAAAGTCGTGCACGTCAACAAGCCAAGATCGATGTTATGAAACGCACGTATGGGCCACTACAGGAGCGACCAAATTCATCCGAGTAGAAATGTTTCTAGTCTATTTTTTAACGCACCTAAGGGCCACTACAGGAGCGACCAAATTCATCCGGGTAGAAACGTTTCTAGTCTATTTTTTTCCTCGGCCGATAGATAGCTGTGCCAAGTACTGGTGGTTTAATCTCTGTATAGGCCCTGGGTGGGGAATCCTCGGGGTGTATCAGTTAATCGTGACCGTCTCTACAATTTACATCCTTTGACTCTGTGATGTGATCACTCCATCTCAGGACATACTCACAGTAGCACCCGGTTAATGTATCTGACGGCAACTACGGCCGGAGCTGGATGAATCTGATCGCAATCACGTCCAGAGCGTAGTTGAAGATGTCGTAGTGTGAGTACGACCTCTCAGCGGAACGGACCGTCTTGCCTACTCCACTTGACCAACATATGGCTACACTTCTCTGTAAAAACCCGCTCCACAAAATGGAAGTTTCATTTTGGGTTTTAGCTGAAGTGACAAGAGTCACATGAAACCCACGAAGGTGTCCAAAAATTTCGAAACGATTTTGTATTTGGCGTTTCCTGCCAGCTTTTTTTTTGTTTTGTTTTTTTTGTTTTTTTGAAAGGGACATGCTCCATTCTATTCGTGGGGAGCAGCACGTGCTGGGAACCGCGCCCAGCGTCCCATTCAAGATCACATTGAGAAAAATGAGAAATCTATGAAGAAATCCTTGAGATACCGGACGGGGGCCAAAAGACAACTGTGTAATCTACACAAGAACACTGAACTTGATTTTTCTGTTTAGTGCATTGTGTCACAGGATGCGGTAGTACGCGGAAGTAGTCTCTGCTTCTAATTTTAACCCGCCAGTCCACCCGGTGCCAAGTCCCACTTACGCTGATTCTTGATTTCTGGTTGTTGATCTTCCGAATCTGCGGTCAGAAAGCGATCATTCGGGTAAGCGGGACTTGGCCCCTGGGCCTGCAGGCCCCGTAATGCGCACCAAGCTTTTCCGAACCGCCATCGGCCCACTTTCTTTTTTTCTTTTTTGGCGCATTACGGGGCCGCCATCGGCCGAGCCCCCAATTTTTTTGTAGGCTACGAGTTTCTTTTTTCAGCAAGGCCAGGCCTGTGCACTGGCGGCTTAGTGACGGAAGAGGGAAAAAGAGGGGAAAAAAGAGGGAAAGAAACAGCTGGTCTCCACTTGAAACGAGACCTGCTAGCGGCCAGCGTATCTGATTTTTATTATTATTATTATTTTTTAACCACCAGTACTTAGCCCAGCTATCGGCCGTGGAAAAAAAAAAAAGAGTAGAAACGTTTCTAGTCGGATGAATTTGGGCGCTCCTGTACTGCCCTGTATGTATGTTTCCTAAAATCGTGGCGCGTTAAGGGGCACCACTCGAGGAAGTACTGGTGGTTTAAGGTGGCACCCTTGGCCTTTTCCGGGTCATAAAACGAAACGTGTGGCGATGGCATGGCATAGGCAATCTCTGTTGTAACGGTTGGCCTTGCTGCATCACTCACCAAATGTCAAAAATTCGACTTTGGAGGATGAACATTTCCACGTTCTAGATTGAGATACATTCTCATTTTGCACATTTGGTGAGTGGTGTGGCGGGTCCCCCCATCTTCAAGGAACGCCGTCCTTGTGGTCAGTGCAAAAACTGGAGATAATGGTGGTTTCGTACAAGCCTGTTGCGTCCAGTAGGTGCTTAAAACCCTCCAATGCATGCAGGTGCTTTTAACCCCGACTGTCTTCCCCTCATCGAGCGTACGGGGATTATAGCTGTATGCGGGGCAGTTTTCAGTCCAGATGCGGTGGTATTTTGACCGTATGTTCTATTCGGGAAAGACGGTATTGCGTCCATATTAAGATAGAGCGTACGGGCATTATAGCTGTATGTGGGTAAGTTTTCAGTCTAGATTCAGTGGCATCTCTCACCTGCGGTGACCATGAAATGCCGTGGCAGTTACAGGATGTGTGGCCATAGCCGCCATACGAGTCAACATAGAAAAGAAGCTGTAGGTGAAATGCAGCGGCGTTTTTGTTTTTGCTTTTTTTTTTTTTGTTTTTTTTTTTATTATTATTTTTAATGTAGGGCCAAATCTTCAAAAAAACTAACCAGTTCAATTACCTGTCGAATCTGGGCAGGATGGCATTTCAGGCCTTTTTATTATTATGACAGTATTATTACAGGGAACGCTGTCGCAGCCAGCCCGATTTCAAGCCTTGAATGAGGGAAGAGGCGGGCGCTGCATGCGACCTGCAGGTGGGCGACACTGGCCAGGGGTCAGCCAGCAGCATCCCCACAAATAGACTGGAGCAACCTGGCAATCTGCTACAAGGGGGTGCTCTCTTATCACCCCTCCCTCCTAGCTGTAGAGCCGGTTAAAAAAAGAAAAAAAAAGAAAAGAGAAGAACCAGCGTGGCCCCTCCCCAAGGATGACAAACACAGATCAAGATATGAAATGCTACATCCACATACATGCACATGTATGTGGATGCAATCACACGGTGAAGACATGCTCACAGGACATCGATACGGTGAGACGGATAGAAAGAAAAATTCTGAGTGCAGGTGCGCGATGAAAATGTAATCGTAGAAGCACAGTGGCCATTGCGTAGGTGGCGAAGCAAGCACGAAGGAAGAGGAATGATCCTCTGGTGAGACGGCTTTTGAACTCTTTTCACTTGCTGGTGATGAGCAACCAGACTGCTGCCCCCCCAGAATAGAAAGGGGCTGTGTGCAACAAAAAGTTAAAAAATCCAAGAACTCCTGAAAAAAAACTATGTTATGTAGAAAAATAAACAGAACAACTTTTGCGAAAGTCCTTACCAAATGAAAACTAAATATAAAATGAAAAGAAAATGTATTTTTATTTTTCAATTCTTTTTGCCCCTGCCGGGCACCAGTGGTCCCGAGCCACTATTGTAGCCTTAGCTTTCCATTGACTTCATTCATACAGTTCGTGAGGAACGGGATGGTGTTCTGCACTGAGGGGGCTCGGTGCACCACTTGCCAAAAACCGCCATTTGGAATGCATCTGGACCTGCTCTCTCGTCCTGATACATTCAAGTGGTGCGGCGAGCTCGGAAGTAGCTGTGGCAGTCGGGCAAAAAATTTTTATTAAATAAAAACAAGAAAACGGTCCTCAGCGATGCAGACTGTCGAGAGATGGGGTTAGGAAGGGACCCCTGGAGAAAAGTGTGGGTTGCGAAGGGGCATGCACGTGTGTCTGTGTGTGTGTGTGGAGAGAGAGAGAGAGAGAGAGAGAGAGACGTTGGCTTATGACTGGCTGGCTATAGCCGTGATTGAATTTGGAATTTGACATTATTCTCTTTCTGTGATGGTTGATTTGTGCTGCTGGTGCAGGATTTTATACCATTCAGGAAAGGAAGAAGGTCGAAAGCAGGGACTAGTTCGGCGGCAGCCCCACCACAGAAGGGGCGGGGGTACAGGTCTGGGAGTGTTAGCAGTGGGCCTACGACCCCTACCAAGGGATCGTGGTCGTTGTCCTCTCCAGTGCCGATGGTATGCAGCAGCAGGGGAAAGAAGCCTGGAAACGTTCATAGCAGACGTGAGAAAGAGAAACTCACGGAGAGGGAACTCCACTTCTTCGAGTACGAGGAGATAGAGATCGAGCAATATGATGAGGATCAGGAGTTTGAACAGATTCTTCAGTTGTCCGGAGATGGAGAGGGCTGTCTTCACCACTTCAGCGATATTCGTCAGTACGAAGAGCTGGTGGCAGAAGAGTCGTCGCCGGCGCCGGCGTACGTTACGCAGGAGGGTGAGGATATCCAGGATTTGTGGCCTTTGGAAGATGAGCTTGGGCTGGATGACGGTGCGCCTTTCCTCGCTGGGACCGACGGCGCACTGCAAACTCCGTACGGTGTGTTCTGGAGTGGTAGGAAACCGGGACAAGTCGAAGCGCCGAATCCCCCGGCGGAATCTCAACCGGCGGCGGATTGCATGCCCGGCGGAGTGCCGATTGATTTCAGCGTAGATGATGGTTGGCTGGCTAGCGCAGAGTTTGACGATCATGGGTATCGAATACAGGATGCAGGCGCTGTGGACGTGACCTCCAGCACCTACATTTTACCCGTTGTCAGCGACCGAGCGTCACCGGTCCACCACGCGGCCTATCTTATTCCGGAGATAGATGAGAAAGAACTGCAGCACTTGCCTCTAGTGGACTCGCCGTTCGCTGATATCGCGGACGTGGATGCCTCTTGTGCTCTTAATGGGTTTACTGAGGGTGAACCGCGAGCAACGCAAGGTCTCAATGGGGTCCCGTCAAGGGATGATCTGCACAAGGGGAAGCCCGGGAAGGAGGGTATCGTAGATCAGGCGAACTTTGCCGTCGATGGGATCTCGGACGCGGATGCGCCCTTCGCTGTTGAAAGGGGGCCTCAAGCAAATGCTCACGCTGCAGGTGTTGACGGTGTCGCCGGGGAAACCAAATCCGAGACCGTACTTGGGGGGAGCTCTGCAACCTATGATGACATGGTGGTGAGAGAGGAGAAGGCTATGGCCGAGGACACGGATGCGATGGGAATGGACCCTATGGAGAGAGCCCAACCAGGAAATCACAACAACTCCCCGACAACATGTACCGACTCAGGCCTTGGGCAGTGTTACGCGGCGGAGAATCGCCAACTACACCGTCCTCCGCCGGTAAAGAGTGAGGTCTGGGAGAAAGCGAGTGCCGACGGTGGATGCCAGATAAAAGCGGTGGCGAGTACAGAAGACAGGGAAGCTGGCGTTGCAGTGTTAGCCACGGAGACGAAGGCGGAGTTGGAAGGGCCGGAGGCCGGAGTGTCACAGGTGTTGCCTGTGAAGACGGAGTCCATCGAGATGGCCAGTGCGAAAGAGGAGAAGGATGAATGCGGAGACATTGAAGGTAAGGGGGCACCGACTGCGAGTGGTGAGAAGCTTTGCCCGGTCTTGAGCAGCGGCGGCTTGCAAGACCAGAAGAGAGCTTCTGAGGGGGAAACGGCACGGCCTGCTGTTTTTCCATGTCCAAGGACCGGACAGCACGAGGTGATGGTGCTGGCCGAGGTGGTAGCGAGAGCAGAAACAACCGATCGGAAGGCGCCCAACTTGAAGGCAGGTGAGGCCGAGCCTTGTGAAGAGGCGACGCATGCAGCGGGCAAGCCTGGGGTCCCAGCCTTTGCGGCTCTTGCTGATGTACAGACGGATTCAGCAGCGAAGGAAAGTGGAACCTGTGTTGTCGCGGCCAGTGAAACGAAGTCGAGCACCGGCTTGGGAAAAGATGGAGATGTGTGCGTCAAGCTGGAGGCTATGACAGAGCGTCGGTGTGATGTTTCACAGGAGAAAGCGGAAGGTAGCCAGAAGGGCCGGTCTGGGTCACCGGTCACAGAGAAGGACGGGGGTGCTTCAAGAGCTTCCGCTCATGAAGATCGTGTACAGCGTTCCGGTAGTGTGGAGCGAGCGGAAGAGATGGCGGATGCAAAACAGGATCTGGAAACAGTACGGTTTAACCTGCCTTCTATGAACGCGGAGCGCGATATGGATATGGAATCGAAACCGAATGATCCTGCAGATGATGGTCGACGAGGAGCTTCTCCCCCCGAGTTGAGGGGAAGAGCAGATCATGAGGTGGCAAGCGGGGCGGTTTCGAAAAGTGGCACGGTTGATTCCGTTGCTCGGAGTGCGACCGCAGCACGCGTCAACCAGAGGGGGGGTACAGATGGGTCGGGAAGCAAGTTCGTTAGCTCAGAAGTGCATGCCGTCGGACGGTCGGAATGGGATAGCGACGAGGAGGAAGACAGGGACCGGTACTGGGAAAGAAGCCGGAACGCTGACCGAGACAAGGACTGGGATCAGGACGGCGATTGGGATCGAGCTTGGGAGCACCGGAGCCACTCCTCCAGATCATCTAGGGATAGGTATGGGCGGCCGTACGAGAGCGGACGGTCGTACGATCGCAGCGAGTCGGGGGCACAAAGGTCCGACAGGCGGTATCATTATAGCGAGCGGCGGCCGTCGTACAGGGAAGAGAGTTATCGCTCGGAAAGGAGTTGGGAGCGGACCAGGGAGCGGTGTGGTAGGCGACGGTGGCGGGATCATTCGGCCGAGGAATTGTTCGGTGTGGACCACGAGAGGAGTCATAGCAGCAGCAGGGGCTGGGAAGCCAAGCGGCAAAAGAAGAGAGGGAAGGGCCCCAGCCAGGACTGTACAATATTTGTGGGAGACCTCGATCCGTCGACAATCGATTACGAACTGAATTTGGCCTTCGAACGGTTTGGCGAGATTGTGAGGGCAAGAGTCATAGAAGCGCAATGCTACGGATTCGTGACTTTCGAGTCCAGACAGTGCGCAGAGACAGCTGTGAGCCAGGGGAAATCTGAAGAGGGGGTGTATGTGGGTTCGCAGAGGGTGCGTGTTGCCTGGGCGCATGGATCGCTACCAGATTGGAAGATTGGGGTTGGTGGGTTCGCCTGGACAGCTCCGCTCCCGGCCAGCCCCGGAGGGCGTGAGCGGAGGTTCTCAGATGCAAAACAATTTCCCATGGAAAGTGGCGGTGTCAGAGTGGTTCTTCCTCCTCCGGCGAAGGCGGGACCGAAAGCGTCTCTCATGGCGGCCGCCGCCGCCGCTGCTGCCACTGCTGTTGCTGTCCTCTCAAGTGGTCCTGAGGTACCATGCTTAGACCAGCAACAGCCCCTTCCACAAGGACGGCAGATCATCGCCTATGATGACTTGTTTTGACACAACTCTCGACTCGATTCTGTGGTACTTGGAATCGTGTGGGAGGGCTGGTTACCTGATCGTCCGGGAGGCCTCCAAGCTCGAGGAGAGGGTGCGAGCCAAAGGGAGACGGAGACAAAGAGGGGCAGCCAGGAGTGAGCATGCAGGAGAGAGTGATTGGCACTCGAAACAGTTTTGTTCGCTTTAGGTACGACCGTTGTCAAGCGTCCACTCAATCCAACAGTTTGCACTGAAGTGTGTGAACGCTCGGATAACGAGATTTGTTGTTGTTGAGGCGATCTCTGTAAGAGAGTGCATCAATTGTGAAATTGATGCCCAATTTTGGGTTCAACGTGAGAGAGGTCCTGGCATGACGGAGAGAGAGAGAGAGAGAGAGAGAGAGAGAGAGAGAGAGAGGTGGTGGAACGGGGGGTGAAGGGGGGGAGGGGGCCGGAATACTCGCACGCATGTGCATGTGTAGCATTTGCGTCCACCAATGTACTTGAGCGGAGTCAGTCAAGAAAGACCGACAGACGGGCTTCGGCGCCTTGATTGGCAGGCGTCCTTGCTCTGTAGCAAGGACCGAGAGGACCTTCTGTTCAATTGCCGGCAATAGGTACGAGTACTTGTCATTTGATCTCTTCTGATTGCACAACTCGGCTTGTAGTGATTTGTTGTTGTGCGGTCTCACTTCAGTACATTTTATACTTCTCTATTGTTGGAAGCAGTCTCCATGTTCTCCTCGGTGCTTTCTCACACGCCTGCCACCCTCTTTTTCCCCGGGCAGCAGCCCCCCCCTTCCACATATCTGGATGCCCACTTTGATTGCATCTTCCTCCTCTTGACAGGTGAAAGCCGATCCAAGATCGGGTGGGGGATAGGACGAGAGCGGGGGGAGGAACAATGGCGAGAAGCGCAATGGATTCTCTGCATGGTCCTTGCTCTTGGCGGGCTTAGTCGTCTTTCCTCGGTGCTTACGGGCTTGCCGGCCTCTTCTTCCCTGGGCGCCAGCCCCTTCCACAGCCTCTGGTTGTCCACCCTAATTGCATCTGCCTGGTCATGCCTTAGACGACAAGGCAGATGCAAGGCGTGGTGGGGGGTAGGAGGAGGATGGAGAGGAACAACAATTGTGAGAGGTGGAGGGTTTCTCCACATGCTCCTCTACTTTGCCGGCAGCTTATTTGTCTTCTAGTAGGTGACTTGCCGAAGCAACTGCAGTCTTCATCGATGCCATCTCTTTTCGTTTCCGTTTCTTTTCTTTTTTTTCTTTTTACGTTCCCCTTTCTGTGTCAAACCACAGGATATTTGCATGGACGGTATAATAGGGTAATGTCAAGGTTATGACTTGTCCTGATTCTAGAACGAGGCGCTCGTGGTATAGAAAGGTAAGGTGGGTGTATTTTGCTTTGTTTCTTTGTGTGTGTGTGTGTGTGTGTGTGTGTGTGTGTGTGTGTGTGTGTGTGTGTGTGTGATTTCTTTTCTGGTTCGTGCTGCTTTGCTTTCATTGCCTTTGAGTTGTTTGTGTTTTCCGTTTTTCGCCGTCTTTTTCGGTTCCTTCTTTCTTCGGGTTGCGCGGCAGCTCATGACAGGGGACTTTCCTAGATAGGCATAATCTCGTTGAGATGGGATTAAGGATTTTCCTAGTTAGGCATGATCTCATTGAGAGATGGGATAAGAGTGTATGTACAACTGCGAATTGAGAGGAAGAGGCTTCAAAGCAGAGGTTTTTTTTTTTTTTTTTTGTGATATGGTTGCCAATTAATTTTGAATTTTGGGGTGAATTCCCCCTGAGAATCCATTGTGTCAAATTTTCAGTTTTGCATTACAAATAGATATGGATTTTCTGGTATTTTCAGTTTTGCAGTTTTGCCCCCTTCGCATCCATTCTGAAATAAACATCGGCGGGCTGCCTGCCTGCCTGCCTGTTCCCTCCACCTTCCTAAGTGTGAAACATTGGCGGGATGAATGTGGTCCGTTTCTCTGTACATGGTGATCTGTTCGAAGAGTGAAGAAAACAATCGAGTATGGTTCGTTTTATCTTTTTTTTTTTAACATAAAATTTGATTCCATCTTCTTAAATACTTTCTTATATAGTATAGAAAAAGAAAAAAAGAAAGAGGCTTTTCAGAAAAGACAAATGTATATCTTCATCACCGTGCTAATTTGACCTATTCAAGTAAAAATTTTCAGATCTTTTTAGGAGGTCGGTATCAATGGTTGAGTTGCAACCTTAAAGCTGAGCAGAGAAGCCAAATATTCACAGAGAGAGAGAGAGAGAGAGAGAGAGAGAGAGAGAGAGAGAGAATGCGATACTTCACATGGGAGGCATTGTGTTCCTTGTTTCAGAGCGTTTATATATAATGATGTATTTGAAGTTTCCTCTTGCGGCGTACAAGGCATACAAGAGCACTCTGGTTTTGTTTTTTGTTTTTGTTTCTTGTTTTTTTTTTTTTTTTTTCCGATTCGAGGTATGTTATCCGGTTGGAGTGAATGCTTTCTGGTTTGAGATTTTGATAGAGACACATCCAATGGAAGGGGGTTCACCAAGAGTGCAGGTGGGTGGAATTTAATTATTTAAATAGTTTTCCATTATTAAAAAGAAGAAAAATCTCTTTCTCACAGAGTCTCACTTGCGTAGGAACTCGGAGCTGTGGACAGACTTGTTTATTTTTTGTTTCTCGTTCTTTTTTTTTTTCTTTTTTTTTTGTCCCTTGTTTTATAGTTTTTGTTCCCTCTCTGAACTCGTTTTCATATTCTTATATTATTTATATACGTGTGTTAAATTACTGTTTATGTCTCTGTACGAATAAGGTATTTGCTGTGGATCGTCACTCCTTCCAAGGGAATTGATGTGAAAACACATCAGTCCCTCAGTCCGGCGATTACATCTCCGTACGCAAGTATGTGCTATGGATGCTTATTGATGGGTTTGTGGGCTTGGCTCCAGTATCCAACATGCCATACGTACGTGGACTGTCATATGGACCATGTACCAATGGGGCGGGTACAGGCTGAATGTATCCTGGACTTTACCACACCCTTCCCTGCATGTTTCGGACCATGTGAAGATGTACTTTGTCACCTTTAGACTCTCTCTGTCTGTCTATCTGTCTCTCTCTCTCTCTCTCTCTCTCTCTCTCTCTCTCTCTCTCTCTCTCTCCCTCCCTCACAAACACACAC